TCCGCGCCCGGGAGCTGGGGGTCCCTCGGGCGGAGGAGACGGTGGCCGCTCGGGCGGGGGAGGGGATCCTGAGGCTGAGGCAGTTCGCGCCCGGGAGCTGGGGGTCCCTCGGGCGGAGGGTCTCGGTCCGGCCGCGGGTCTGGGCCCCTCACGGCGAGCCGGGATGCCGGCGAGGGGGCCGCTCGGTCTCGGGCGGACCCTTCCCTGACTTGGGACCCGCGGGCTGCTGGGGAGAGCCCCGGGATTTCTGGGACTGCGGGGCCATTTGGGGCTCCTGGGGGGACGCCCTGCAGGCCGGGCGCTGTGGGGCGAGGCCGCTGAGGGAGAGAGGCGCCCACGCACAGCCGCAGCCGCCGCTGCCGCCACGCCCCGAGCTCCAGCCGCGGGCGTCTGAGCCCCACCAGAGTCGACGGGTGCCGACTGTCGTACAGCTGCCAATCCGCGCTGCGGACGTGGGGTCCAGCCAATCGGCGTTCTTCAGGGTGGAAGGGCGGGGCGGAGGGCGGAGCCGTATCTGTCAGTCACGTGCAGCGGGTTCCGGGCGGGGACCTGACCTGGGTCTCTCAAGGGAGTGGTCTGAAAACGTTCTGCTCACGTGGCTCTGCAGGCTGGGGTCTGTGCACTAGGGCCTGTGACAGAGGGCTCATCTTGTCTAGAGGGCTTTAAACCTTAGCATTGCTGCGGCGTGGGTTCCCCCACCCCCTTAACAGAGTCCCGCAAGGTAATCGTGGTACTAGGGGGGCCCAGGAGTTTGGAGGCGGCAAACCGAGATGTGGGCAGGGAAAGAAATGCCACAGGACTGTTCCACTTGTAGTGCAATGGGATCTGGGGCCAGGTGTGCAGACCCTTCCAGGAGGCTTGGTGTCTAGTCCCCGAAGGGATTCCCAGCCCCGTGTTCTGCATAAACGGTGAGGACACCCTTGAAACCGTGGTCAGACCAGTGGAAGGAATTTGCAGTTATCATGGTGCTAGACCTCAGACCCGGGAATTCAGTCAGGAAGTGGTCTGTGAGCCTCAAAGGGAACAGCAGTCCCTCTGACCTGAAGATAGGGATAGTCCCTGTGAGAGGGCAGGCCTGACTTGGGGGCCAGGACCTCGTGGACCTTACTCTGGCTGGAGAAATCAGTGCTGACACTGATGAGCTCAAGATTTTTGTTTGATATTGGGTGTATCCTTCTATTCCCTGAACTTCTGTGTTATTTTCAATTTTATTTTATTTTATTTTATTCAGCTTTGTATATTAATTTTTATTCAGCATCCAATTATTTGCATTATGCTAGAAAAAATTCACTATTAGATTTTTTTCTGACTCTTACTAACTCTTACTAACAGTAAGTTAGCACTTACTAACTCTTCAGAGCAGTCATTTCCAAGTGGAGAGGTTCTGACTCCAGCTCTCCGCTGGCCTGTGGGAGACTTCCTGTTCCCAAGATCTCAGGGCAGAACTTGCCTGCTGCCACCAACACCAGTGAGCTTGCAGAATCAGACACTGAGGACAAAGGTGGCCAGCAGGGTGCCAAAAAACGACTCCCATCAATGGGCCCCTGCTTACTCTCCACCTTCCCCTGCTTCCACAGCAGTGGAGGTCTTGCCTGGTTTTTGTTGGTTTTGCAGTTCTGGGGATTAAACCCAGGGGTGCCTTACCACAGAGCCACACTCAGCCCTTTTTATTCTGAGACAAGGTCTAAGTTGTAAGGCTGGCCTCAAATGTGAAACCCTCCTGCCTCCAGAGTCTCTGAGATTACAGGCATGTGCCACAACACCCAATGCATTTGTATATATTTTTTGTACTCAGGCTTGAACCCATGGGTACTTAACCACTGAACTACCTCCCCAACCTTTTTTTATATTTTTATTTAGAGATAGGGTCTCACTGAGTTGCTAAGCACCTTGCTACGTTGCTAAGGCTGGCTTTGAACTCTCAGTCCTCCTGCCTCAGCCTCCCCAGCAACTAGGATTGGTGTGTGCCACCACACCCAGCCTAATTAGTATTTTTTAAAGAGCTAAAGGTATTTCCATTCTGGGGATAAAACCCAGGGCTTCATGCATGCTGGGAATTGAACCCAGCTCTACCTGAACTACATCCCCAGCCCTTTTTTAAATTTTTGAGAGCGGGCCTTGCTAAGTTGCCCAGGCTGGCCTTGAACTTGTGATCCTCCTCCTCCAGTTTCATGAGTTGCTGGGATTACGTGGTGTGCCACTGTGCTTGGCAGTTCTTTTTTTTTTAGTTTTCTTTTATGTAAAACTTGTGCTTTTAGTGCTGAGAAATCTTCCCTACATTATTATCATAAGTATTTTCCCTAGATACCTTCACGGTCAGCTTTTATATTCAAGTCTGTGATGCATTCCAAGTTACTCCTTCTGTATACCTTGAAGTAAGGGGAGTCTTTCTCTGCCCCCACACAAATACTTAGTTATTTCAGCAGCATTCATTGAAAACTCTTTCCTACACCAAATTATTTGGAGGCTTTATTCAAAACTGGAGAATCTAGGTGTAGACTGATTTCTAGACTTCGCGTCTTACTGATCCATACCCAGGCTGATGCCAATAATACACAGTACTACTAACATAGTTCTGTGGTAAAGCTGTGAAATCAGGTATGCAGCCCTCATACTTGGGGTTTTGTTGTTGTTGCTCACTCATTTTGGCAGGACTGTCTTGAACCAGATCTCTATGCATGCTAGGCAGCACTCCACCCTGAACTGCAGCCTCCTTTCATTTTCAAACAGGGTCTCCCAAAGTTGCTCAAGCTGGTCTTGAATCAACTTTTTTCTTCTTCAGAAATTCTTTTGTTTTTCTAGGCCCTTCTTATTACCATTTAAATTTTTGATTACTTTGTCAATTTCCACACGAATGCCTCTGAATCTAAAAAGACTAATCTGTAGAGCACCACCACACTGAGCTTCCCAACCTTGGCTGTAGCAGGGACACTCTTCTTTTATGTGGTGTGGGACTGAGCCCAGGCCCTGCATGGCTAGGCAGGTGCTTCACAGGAGGACAGCTGGCTTGCGCCCCTGCACTTCCCATGCTCACCGTCTGCCTGCACGTCTTCTGGCAGCATCCCTCACTAACTGCAGACTGCGCCTGCTCCCCAGGCCCCCTAACGCTGCATGCCTCTGCTGTGGCACGTGGACTGGGAGCAGGCTTCCTTCCTTACCTTTCACTGCTAGGACAGGGAAGTGGCCCTGCTCCCTGTGGACTTGCTCAAGTCCTCATCAAGATGACTCGCAAACATGAGTTTCTGAAGAGGGAAAAAAAATTATATCACTGAGGAGGCTGTTTTCCTGATTCTAAAACCAGCTTATGTTCCTCAAGGAGACTTTGTCAAGAATAGAAAAGTAAATTTAAAAGTAGAATGAAAGAAAGAAGAGCAAACTCCAGTTCTCTCAGCAGGAAGGTAAACGTTCCACACACTGGTTGGTCTGGGTGGCACTGTCTGCTGTCTAAGGAGGCAGCTTTGTTTGCTCCACACTGCCCCTGCTCGAGCTTTCTTCACAGTATGTGGCAGCACTGACACTTTCCCACGCTGTCAGACTTCTGGTACACGACGTGCCACACCATGGTTATGCCATGTACAACTGTTCTGCTATTGTGCACTTTTTATTATTTGCAAATGATGCACTGTTGTAAGCAACATTTCAGCTAGACACCTGTCAGGTGCTGACAGCAGAACCACCCACAGCCCTCACAAATATACTACCAGGTATGGCTTGCATATCATGTCAGTCCACACAACAGCTCTCTGAAGCAGGTACTAGTAGTATCCTCCTAGAACAGTTGAAGAACAGCAGCTACAGATATCAGAAAACCTGCGGCCCACTTAAAGGGCAACTCTGACTTTCCTGTGAAGAACTACAGCCGTAATGAAAACTGCGGACAGGAGCACACTGCATGTGAACAGCATGGGGAAACTAGCAGCCCTGGATCTGACTGGCTCTGCCACCCGATGTTCTCCCCACTTTATCACAAAGCACAAGTTATGAGGAGCTGTGCTCCTTTACAAGACTCTGATTCCAGCCACTGTCCTAGTTCTTCCCGGGAGAGATCACAACCTGCTTGTCTCTGCAATGTTATCATTCAGCCGTCTGAACATCACCTGTGCTATAAAATGGCAAACCCGTCAGTCCCCACTGCTAACTGAGAAGCATACAGCGACACTGAAGCCAAGTCAATTGTTGCTTGGGAGCAGCACTGCAATAGGAAAATGTGTGTCACAGTAAACTGCAGATGTACTCACGGAGATGGCAGCAAGGGAAGGTTTTTAAAGGCAAAAACAAGGACATCAGGTACTTTGAAAGATGACTAGTCACATCCATGAACAGCAAGGTGACGTCACTGTGAGGCTGAATACAGCCGTTAGGCAGGCGGCCCCATGAAGGCCATCTGTGTGAAGCCTCGTGGCCTCTGAGTGCACATGTGGCTCTCTGAGCATCTTGTCAAAGTCACTACCAGGCAATCATGCGTGACAGCTCTTCCTTCACAACCTTGTGACTTTATTTTTTTGTTAGGGTTGATGTAAGGTACTTCACTTTGATTTTGACACTTTTTACAACACGCACACAAGATTCATTTATAGAATGAAACAGAAAATTAAAACATATCCTATTCCTGATTTTTTTGGGGTAAAAAAGACTTACCAGAGAATCTGAAGATTGAGGTCTTCCCCCTAGAAGACCTCTGTACCAACAAAACAATTTTGCATACAATATTAAAAGCTGTTACTGATCCTCAGGAATTAAACCACAATCTCAGTAATTGTCAGTAACTTTCACAGGTAAATTCTGATGTAGGCAAAAGGGAAAAGCATGCATGAGTGGAACTCTATGGCCCCCCAAAATTTAGAATCAATAAGAACCTTGGTCAGCAGGTGGTTCTCAGGCACCTGAGAACCCAGGAAGCAACAAGCACATGTAAGTTAGGTGACAAGTGACATTCAATGGGGCGAATGTATTAACAATCATGGTGACAAAGAACTTGGCACACGTGAGGCCCTCTTGTAAGCTTCACACTCACAAACACTCACCTTGATGATCCAAGGTACATGCTACTCTCATCTCCAGCTTGCACTTCAGGCACAGAGGAGCCAAGCAGATGCCCACGAGCACCAGCTAGTCAGGGAAAGAGGTAGGATTTCACCCTGGGCATGGCAGCTCAAGTACATGCCCTCGGGCAATAAGTCTCCTCCACAAAGGGAAAGGATTCGGCAGTGCTGGGTTGTCTGGTGCACACAAGTGCTCTGAATGTTACCCAGGTTCCTGCTCCTGATCCAATGGTGACCCTCCCTTGAGTATCCAAGTGCCCAAGGATCCTCTAAGTCTCCACATCCAGAGAAATGCTGCATTTTAAAATGCTTAGGAAACTTCTGCACCTTTTTGCAAAGAGTGGAACTCTAAGGCCCCAAACAATTTAGAATC